TTTGGAAGACTTGGTTCCATTTCCGGAGGACTGGGAGCTTCCATATTCAGAGTACTCGACGGGTCGCCCCGTGGATGAACCCAAAAGAAAGGAAGAGCGCGAAACTTTTGGAGCAACGGAGATGGAGATTGCCTCAGCGTTTGGGCCCGACTGAAGGTCCATTGGTAGAACCCCTAGGCCCACCAAGGATAGCCCATCCATTTGGGAGATGTCCTTCAGTGGTCTCAAAGGCAGAAGCCAACAAGGGGTGCCGGACTTGAAAAAAGATGTGCCCTTTGGCCCCAATTTTGCCTCAGGGTTCATCCCTAACTGCTGGATTCCTGGAGTGCCGTTGTAGAGGGTTCTTTCCCTTTGGATCCGTAAGGTTGATTCATCCGGGGTCGACGTGTTTCTGCCTTCTTTGGCAAAAGGAAACCTGCAATTGTCGTAGTCAAGACCTGGTAACAAAGGAATCCCCCGAAAACTACACGCAATCAAAAGTGCGGCGCCGCCCGCCCGCTTCGCCCAATCAAATGCAGGTCGGTCCCTTCGTTTCAGCTTGAGTGGGGTATTTGGGTGGTTTGGCGACGTCTGTTTGAGCGGTACACCTAAAAGGTCCTCCGTGCCTCACTGAGTTGTCCTTTTGGCACCTTGCTTGCGACATGATCGAGCGGAATCCTGCACTAGTGGGCCATATGACAATAAGGTCGGGTCTGGGAAAGCCCACTGACGCATCAGCCAACATGTCTTCTCCATTTGCTGTGCAAAAAATTGGAACAAGGTAACCTTGGCAAGGACAGAAAAGAGAAAAAACGGTTAAAACACGGGTTCGAGCCAGGATCAGACTTCCAGGAACGCTGCCTCTGCAACGCACGGCAGGATTTTCACTTTCCTCGAGAACCTGCGCGTTCCTGTGCATGGAAAGGGGGTACGTTCAAATGCACTCGGCTTGCAGTTCTCCAGAACCAGGCGCCTCCAAAGAGCTGGAAAAACCCTTGCCGGACCGCCCAGCTTTTTTGTGGTGCAGGATGGTTCGAGGTTCAGCTCCCAAGCCAGTATTCAGTTAGTCCGTATTTCCTCAAAATAGGAACCCAATGAGTGGTTTCCCCAAAAGGCTGCCCTGTTTCCGAGCAATAGGTGGTGTCCATTTGGGTTCCCTTTAAAATCACGCGCCCCTCATGAAGAAAGAAGAAACCTGCCTGATTAACAACCGGGCGGATTAATTTATCAGGGCTCGACATGATTGAGTCTTCCAATCATAGGCAAATGTAGTGCCAATGGTGGAACCCACCAGTTCAGCTGGGGAGATGCTTGATGGATGGAATAAGCCAGGTCGAGATGGATGCGCTTGCAAGCTGGTTTAACCCCCACCAAGTTCACCATACTCTCCTCATACCCTGCAGTCAAACTCTCTGCAGACTAACTGTCAACCCAAAAAAGCACCCTCCTTAGGGGAATCTTCTTTGCCCCGCCTTTTTGGGTTCCTTCCCCTCATTCATCCACTGGCTTCGCGCAGCCATACGGACCGCCTCTCCACGTCCAGCTGCTCACATAGCGGCTTGCCCCAACTTGCCTCACTTCCCATGGCCACATGGGCCCACATGCGGTTGGCTCATGACTCACTCAACAGACCTTCATGCAAGCCCAATTCATAGCCCCAAATCAAGTCGCGGAGCTTCTTGCTTTCCACTAAAATCAGTGGCAACAAAGAGAGGGAGCAAGTCCAAGAACAGATGCGCCCCACCCAAAAAACACATGGGGCTTCTTGCTTGCCACCAAAATGATAAAAGGGTGGTGTAATGCGAAAGTCAGTGCCGAAAGTCGGGGCAAACCAGCACCGCCGCAACAAGACTCGGCTCCGCTTGGACGTCCGAGTAATTACCGGCTTTGGTGCCACGCGCGCCCATCTTTCATGGCTTGAGCGGATTGACCCAACAAAGTCTGAGCTGTTTTTGATCTTCCCCGGTAACAAGTCCAACTTGGGATGGGGAGCTCCTCGGTGACATGAGCAAGTTGCAGCCGAAATCAAACACTGAACAGCCTCATCCCAAGCCCTTAAGATGTCATTCTCACAAGCCCTTCCCTCGTCAAGGTCCCTATAGGCTCATTGATAACCCCCCCATGCTGCCAGAGTCAACAAGCCATGGCGAGAACTGGATTTTGGGAGGATCTTGGGGTACCCTGGTCCTGTCTCTACGCTTCTTCCGGTCCTCTCCTTGTTTGGCCAACGCGACTGGTCAGGAGGCTTTTGGTCGACGGTGGACTGGCCTCGAAACGGGGGCCTTTAAGGGGCTTCTCAAACCGGAAGCTTCAAGAAATGTGCTTTCCGGTTAGCTGGTTTATCAAGATCTGGAAAGGAAACACTTAAAACTCGAAAGTACGTGCAAAAGGGCTGCTCCTCCCAATGGCAAATTTCAGTTCCATCATCACTGGGCTTCATATATGTCCCCCTTAACTCTCACCCCACTAAAATGAGTGTCCATCTTCAATTGGCAACCCAACCGTGATACCTTACCACGAAGCGAAGGAGCGGAACGGGCACGCATGCGTGAAACGAGAGCTCACGGGAGCCCGGCCAGCCGCTTCGCCATGGAAACCCGAAATGAGGGAAAGCCACGTTGGCAAAACCCACACGGGTATGGGTCAATTTTTGAACCACCACAACAACCGCGCAGTTTCGCCAATTCTTCCATTTAGCAGGGTTCCATGTTGGGTACCGATTTTTAACCCACACCCACACAAGGCCACAACGCGGCTGTACTTTGTTTGCCTGACTTCACTGTCTGACGTAAACGAACTGAAAGTGGAAAGTTCGACTTTGGCCTCTGCATTGAAGCGGAATCCCGCAACAGGGATCCTTTGTCCTGGAGGAGGTTCGGGCAAGCAGCGCTCTCTCTTCCTGCCTGATAACCCCTCTTTACAATACAGGTGATTCGGGCGAAACCACAAGTTAGGTGCCCCTTTTGGATAACCAAAAGCAAATCCACTCTGGAGTTTGGACCCACATTAGACACACCCATTCAATGTTCTGTCTTAGTTGGTGCTGGTCGAGTGTCCACTTCTATACAAGCCCCTCCAGACCCAGAGGTGGTTGATTCCCTGTGACAATGGTCCGTGTTCTCAGGTCCAAGTCAAGTCTGATGTGACGTGTCATTTAATTTGTCACTACACCACATTGAAAAACTTGCGCAAAAATTGGCGTGAGCGGGGCAGGCCGGGAATGCTGCGACACTGCTCACACCAGATGTTCCTAACTGGCGATGGCATTGCTCACAAAACCAGCGGTCCTGATTGGCGAAGGCTCAAACGACCTACATTCCCACAAGCAGGCTCACTTAAGCAGATTGTTTGGAAAGAGTTGTATCGACCCAGGAATCCTTTCCCCCACGCCCAGACCAACTTTAAAAAGGCCGCTTTCCAAAAACTCTCCCAATCCATACATCCGGTGTCAATATTTGAGAGATCTGTAATCAACACCCGGTATTTCCCTTCCGCCAAAAAACTCTTGCATCCATGCAAAAAATCAATTGAAAAAATGAGCATAATCAACACCTAGTATTTCCAGACCTCCACCGAGCTAAAGAATCAGAGAACGGCCGCCGCGCTTTTAGTGGCCGCGGCTTTGACAATTTGAACCAGCTCCTCTTCACCTGAAACCTCCGGAATCCAGGGTTGACGTTGGAAGGGAAGCAAAAAAAACGATTTTAGCAGTTAAGTGGTTGGATTTCAAACACTAAACCACAATAAGCCAAAATGTAACATGTTTCCCAACGACAATCATGGGAAAAGGGAAAAAAAAGAGGCACTGGTCTTGTGGTCGGTTCCAGGCGCGGGAAAAGGAGGAAAGTCTTTTGAGCAACCACATTTGATCCCAGCCACATTCAGCCAGAAAACACACGTAGCCCTGTCCTAAGCACCCCCAAAAACCAAACAACACGAACCCAAGCTCCACTCTGACAAAATGCACTTCAACAGGCAGAAGCCTGCAATGAAGCAACCTCAAGCAACCGAGCCAACCCAAACTCTGCCGACCAAGCAACAACCAAACAACCAAACAACCAAACAACCAAACAACAAATTATGTGCGATGGTCAGGCAACGCACACAGAGACAGGCAGACCACGAGAAAACATAGTACTATATATATATATATATATATATATATATGTGCAAACACACAGACATACAGACATACAGGCACACAGACACACAGACTCACAATCACACACACACACACACACACACACACACACACACACACACACACACACACACACAAACTCACACAGACACATAAACGCACAGCCACACAACCACACAGACACACAAACACACGAACACACATATATAAACATATATATATATATATGGAAATATACTTATATAGACACACTGTCAAGGCCTGGCTGATGAAAACCCCAGCGCTTTTCCCAATGATGTGGTGCGCGGTAAGCCCCGCCAGGTGCATGACAAGATCCAGGGCTTCCAGCCGTGCGCCAGATCTGCCACTGTTGAGGCCCAAGCATCGAAAATGAAGGACAAATTCACCTCTTCTGGAGTGGACTTGCGGCTGACAAGCAAATTGAAACATTCATGTTTCCAAGTGAAGTGCTCGTCCGAGCTGTTTTGGGGGGGGCCAAATGCCAGGTTGAGACAGAGACTCTCGGGAGTCACTGCTTGGTTGACGTTGGAAGGGGAGCAAAAAATTAAATTTTAGCAGTTAAGTGGGGATTTTCCACCAAGCCACTATTTTTTCATTGTTTCCCAACAACAACCATGACTGACCCTTCCCATGTCAACAGTTTCGGTCGCAGGCTGGCGATATCATTTATGCGCCCGGGCTCTTAGGAGACGGCCCAAACACCAAGCAATATTGGGTTCTTGTATGGGATAGCTGGAAGCCTCATTCAACCACGTGGGTGTGTGTGTGTGTGCCAACCAAAGAAAGCCTATGGGTACCAACAACTCTTGCATGTCCCCTTTTCAGACAGCCCCACCCTTTCCGAGTGAGCGCGCGGCGGTCAAATGAAGTCTTTGACCAAATGCTCCTGCAACTCCTTACCTCGGTAAAACAATTTGTGGTTCGGTACATGGATTGGGCTTCTAGATGCGTGTGCATTCTAGATGCTTGTGGCGAACATGCACCAGCGTGGCAGTAGGTGCTCCCTTTGTGTGGGCAGCTAATGTTGGCACTTGATTAACAAAGGGCCCCCCCCCTCTCAACAATGGAGGCACTAGAATTCTGTAGGCTCACTTTTGGGACGTCCAAACAATGGAGGATTTTGGGGCCCAATTCTACTTTAGTATTGCAGCCACTTCCTTTTTGGAATTCTACTTTAGTATTGCAACCACTTCTTCCTGAGCAGACTTTTTGGAACACTACTTTAGTATTGCAACCACCTCTTCCTGAGCATACTTGTTGGAATACTAATTACTTTCCATTCAAAGGGGGTGCCTTTCAGCCAGGGAGGGCTTGAGCTAGAAAGAAACCAATTGAAAGGGGAATGCTTTTAAGCAAGTGGGCCACCAATTGAAAGGGGAATGCTTTTAAGCAAGTGGGCCACCAATTGAAAGGGGAATGCTTTTAAGTAAGTGGGCCACCAATTGAAAGGGGAATGCTTTTAAGCAAGTGGGCCACCAATTGAAAGGGGAATGCTTTTCAGCAAGTGGGCCACCAATTGAAAGGGGAATGCTTTTAAGTAAGTGGGCCACCAATTGAAAGGGGAATGCTTTTAGGTACGTGGGCCACCAATTAAAAGGGAATGCTTTTGAGTAAAGCAACTGACAGTTTATTTGCTGGAGGCTGGGGATGGTTTACAAATTTCAGAGGTTGCAGCTGGCTTTGGGTTTTGTGCTTGAGCAACCAATTAAAAGGGGAATGTTTTTAAGCAAGTGGGCCACCATCAGCTATTTGTGGATATGTGTGGAGTTGTGGATATTTTTTTGGATTCCCCCCCCCCCCCCGGCAAAAAAGTTTTCAGTTATTCTGGTCCCCCCCCCCCCCCCCCCAAAAAAAAAAAAAAAACACACAAGTTTTCAGTTATTCTGGTCCCCATCAATTGGGGGGGAACCACAATAAGGAAAAACACTTTGCATTGTTGACTATCACATTACTGATCGGGTGCTAACATTAAAACAATTTGTGGTTCGGTACATGGATTGGGCTTCTAGATGCGTGTGCATTCTAGATGCTTGTGGCAAACATGCACCAGGGTGGCAGTAGGTGCTCCCTTTGTGTGGGCAGCTAATGTTGGCACTTGATTAACAAAGGGCCCCCCCCCCTCTCAACAATGGAGGCACTAGAATTCTGTAGGCTCACTTTTGGGACGTCCAAACAATGGAGGATTTTGGGGCCCAATTCTACTTTAGTATTGCAGCCACTTCCTTTTTGGAATTCTACTTTAGTATTGCAACCACTTCTTCCTGAGCAGACTTTTTGGAACACTACTTTAGTATTGCAACCACCTCTTCCTGAGCATACTTGTTGGAATACTAATTACTTTCCATTCAAAGGGGGTGCCTTTCAGCCAGGGAGGGCTTGAGCTAGAAAGAAACCAATTGAAAGGGGAATGCTTTTAAGCAAGTGGGCCACCAATTGAAAGGGGAATGCTTTTAAGCAAGTGGGCCACCAATTGAAAGGGGAATGCTTTTAAGCAAGTGGGCCACCAATTGAAAGGGGAATGCTTTTAAGCAAGTGGGCCACCAATTGAAAGGGGAATGCTTTTAAGCAAGTGGGCCACCAATTGAAAGGGGAATGCTTTTAAGTAAGTGGGCCACCAATTGAAAGGGGAATGTTTTTAGGTACGTGGGCCACCAATTAAAAGGGAATGCTTTTGAGTAAAGCAACTGACAGTTCATTTTCTGGAGGGGGCTGGGGGCTTACAACTAATGTGGTCCCCCTAAAGAATGCCATTGTTGTGGTTCAGTTGGGTCTGCGAGGGGTACCCTTGTCCTGTTTGTTTTTTTCATTGTCAAGCACGTTTTAATAAAGAATTTGCAGTTTCAGGGCTGGGGATGGTTTTCAAATTTCAGAGGTTGCAGCTGGCTTGGGGTTTTGTGTTTGAGCAACCAATTGAAAGGGGAATTATTTTAAGTAAGTGGGCCACCAATTGAGAATGCTTTTGAGTAAGTGGGCCACCAATTAAAAGGGAATGCTTTTGAGTAAAGCAACTGACAGTTCATTTTCTGGAGGGGGCTGGGGGCTTACTTACAACTAATGTGGTCCCCCTAAAGAATGCCATTGTTGTGGTTCATTGTGGTCTGTGAGGGGCACCCTTGTCCTGATTGTTTATTATTACTTTTTATTATTAGTATTATTATTATCATTATTATTATTATTATTATTATTATTATTATTATTATTATTATTATTATTATTATTATTATTATTATTATTATTATTATTATTATTATTATTATTATTATTATTATTATTATTATTTATTATTATTATTATTATTATTATTATTATTATTATTATTATTATTATTATTATTATTATTATTATTATTATTATTATTATTATTATTATTATTATTATTATTATTGTTATTGGTATTATTATTATTAATGTTATTGTTTTATTATTATTATGATTATGATTATTATTATTATTATTATTATTATTATTATTATTATTATTAGTATTATTATTATTATTATTATTATTATTATTATTATTATTATTATTATTATTATTATTATTATTATTATTATTATTATTATTATTATTACTACTACTATTACTATTAGTATTACTACTATTATTATTATTATTACTTAAACACGGTTAAATAACGAAGTTGCAGTTTCAGGGCTGGGGATGGTTTACAAATTTCAGCGGCTTCAGCTGGCTTTGGGTTTTGTGTTTGAGCAACCAATTAAAAGGGAAATGCTTTAAGCAAGTGGGCCACCAATTGAAAGGGGAATGCTTTTCAGCAAGTGGGCCACCAATTGAAAGGGGAATGCTTTTAAGTAAGTGGGCCACCAATTGAAAGGGGAATGCTTTTAGGTACGTGGGCCACCAATTAAAAGGGAATGCTTTTGAGTAAAGCAACTGACAGTTTATTTGCTGGAGGCTGGGGATGGTTTACAAATTTCAGAGGTTGCAGCTGGCTTTGGGTTTTGTGCTTGAGCAACCAATTAAAAGGGGAACTTAAGCAAGTGGGCCACCATCAGCCATTTGTGGATATGTGTGGAGTTGTGGATATTTTTTGGGATTCCCCCCCCCCCCCCCGCAAAAAAGTGTTCAGTTATTCTGGTCCCCCCCCCCCCCCCACCCCCAAAAAAAAACCAAGTTTTCAGTTATTCTGGTCCCCATCAATTGGGGGTGAACCACAATAAGGAAAAACACTTTGCATTGTTGACTATCCCATTACTGATCGGGTGCTAACATTAAAACAATTTGAGGTTCGGTACATGGATGGGGCTTCTAGATGCTTGTGGATTCTAGATGCTTGTGGCAAACATGCACCAGGGTGGCAGTAGGTGCTCCCTTTGTGTGGGCAGATAATGTTGGCACTTGATTCATAACGGCCCCCCCCCCCTCAACAATGGAGGCACTAGAATTCTGTAGGCTCACTTTTGGGACGTCCAAACAATGGAGGATTTTGGGGCCCAATTCTACTTTAGTATTGCAGCCACTTCCTTTTTGGAATTCTACTTTAGTATTGCAACCACTTCTTCCTGAGCAGACTTTTTGGAACACTACTTTAGTATTGCAACCACCTCTTCCTGAGCATACTTGTTGGAATACTAATTACTTTCCATTCAAAGGGTGTGCCTTTCAGCCAGGGAGGGCTTGAGCTAGAAAGAAACCAATTGAAAGGGGAATGCTTTTAAGCAAGTGGGCCACCAATTGAAAGGGGAATGCTTTTAAGCAAGTGGGCCACCAATTGAAAGGGGAATGCTTTTAAGTAAGTGGGCCACCAATTGAAAGGGGAATGCTTTTAAGCAAGTGGGCCACCAATTGAAAGGGGAATGCTTTTCAGCAAGTGGGCCACCAATTGAAAGGGGAATGCTTTTAAGTAAGTGGGCCACCAATTGAAAGGGGAATGCTTTTAGGTACGTGGGCCACCAATTAAAAGGGAATGCTTTTGAGTAAAGCAACTGACAGTTTATTTGCTGGAGGCTGGGGATGGTTTACAAATTTCAGAGGTTGCAGCTGGCTTTGGGTTTTGTGCTTGAGCAACCAATTAAAAGGGGAATGTTTTTAAGCAAGTGGGCCACCATCAGCTATTTGTGGATATGTGTGGAGTTGTGGATATTTTTTTGGATTCCCCCCCCCCCCCCGGCAAAAAAGTTTTCAGTTATTCTGGTCCCCACCCCCCCCCCCCCCAAAAAAAAAAAAAAAACACACAAGTTTTCAGTTATTCTGGTCCCCATCAATTGGGGGGGAACCACAATAAGGAAAAACACTTTGCATTGTTGACTATCACATTACTGATCGGGTGCTAACATTAAAACAATTTGAGGTTCGGTACATGGATGGGGCTTCTAGATGCTTGTGGATTCTAGATGCTTGTGGCAAACATGCACCAGGGTGGCAGTAGGTGCTCCCTTTGTGTGGGCAGATAATGTTGGCACTTGATTCATAAAGGGCCCCCCCCCCCCCTCAACAATGGAGGCACTAGAATTCTGTAGGCTCACTTTTGGGACGTCCAAACAATGGAGAATTTGGGGGCCCAATTCTACTAATCCGGTGCCAACATTAAACCAAAGTTGGGGAGCTGCATCGTTCACCCGACGGCTTCAAGGAACTGAGCCGAAGCTTCGGGCGATTTTCTTCAGGTCGACGACAGGCCCCAACACGCGAATCGGGCATTTGGCATTCGAATCGGGCGATTCGGGTATGTAAAAAAATTGGCAGAGAGTAGCGCAAAAAATATCCGAACAACACAAAGCGCAACTTCAATCCACCATATGTTCTGGTCTAACATGATTGGATGGCAGTATTTACGGTAACCATGTTTGGAAACAACTTTTGGTGATCTTTGTCTCGATCCAATCTTTTCGAACGCGGTACTCATCTGGGTGCCCGCACCAGTTGACTCAAAGAGACGGTGCCACTTACCCTTGGCCTCAAACTTCCGCAGCGTCACTGCAACCTCCAGAGCTTTGCGTTTCGAAAAATGGCACGCGCCCAGGCAATAACATACTCGCTCAAAGACCTGGCCGCCTGCCTTCTTTCCGAGAACCATCCCTTCAGCGGGTTGAAGATAGGAAAAAGTCGCCAGCGAGAGAACCCCGTTATTTTGCTGGCACAAGGCACAGCGGTGCCTCGCTTGTTCTTGGCAACGCCTCATTGATCCTTCGTGGTTTACCTTTTCTCAGCATGTTAGCGGCGCACACGCCAGGTTCCCGTGCTTTGCAAAGGGTGGTTGCCTTTTACTACTGATCACATATGGCTGGACCATGGTTGCAAAGATAATTCATGTCAAAGAGCGCAATAGCCATTTTCTCCATACATAGGTCCGATGGGAGCTAGACGGCACGGCCTAAATCTTCCTGATGGCCAAATGTGTTTTTGCAACATCATAAGGATCTTGAACACCAAATGCACATTGCGAGCACATAAAACAAAAGGGGTCCAGGAAAAGTCGAGCTGATTTCATAAATCAACACCCCAGATATTTCGCAGGGTGGGGAGCCATTTCTTTCAGGCAGCCCCCATATGACTGGGCAGGTTTCTGGTCGCCACGGCGCGGAACTGAGCCAAGTGCCCGAGGTAAACTCTGCTTCGCTGGGGAGTACAGGGACCGTCAGTTCCGGAAATTGAAAAGGGGTTCAGCCATGTTCAACCAAACCCTTGGGCACTTGGAGATTTTTGTGTACCGGGCACCAACACCTCGCCTGCCTGAGTCTTTGTGCGAAAGGGGGACAGTGTCACTGAAGTAACCATCCTCAAATCACAACAGGCCAGGAACTGATTCCAACTTGTAGGGCCCGATTCCAACTTTTGGACATTGCAACCCCCTGTTCAAAACGAACGTTTGGAAGACTTTTGCTTGACACCCTTAACGTTTCCGGTGCCGCAGCCCTTCCCCCCAATCCGAGCCTTGTGGCCGGAGGCCGACAACACGCAGCTGCACTCCTGAAACGGCGGCTGCGCGAGCATCCAGGGCCCCACTGACCCGGTAGATCGGGACCCGTCCCATGCCTGAAACGGCCATGGGGCAAAACCCAAAATCGTACCCAGTGAACATCCCAATCCCCACTAAAATAGACCATGGAGGGCACCTACCCCAAAGACTTGCCCGTTTGGGGGGGGCAAACCCCCCCGTCTGCACCCTCCGAACAAAGGTGCGTGTGAACCCCCCTCCCCCTCCACCCGACGCCGTCAATCGCCGACGCCGTCCTCGGGGTCCACAGCTCCGTGCAGTCGGCCCTGCAGCGAGAAAACCTTGTCGCTGCCCAAGACCAGCAGCACCAAGCGCTGGGCCTGGCGTTTCTTTCGTCAAAATGGATGGGTCTAACGAAAAAGGAGCTGAGCCTGGCGAAACTTTTGATCAAACAAAACGGATGGGTCGAACCGGGGGGAGTTCTCAAGGTGGGCTTCCGGTTGTTTCCCTTTAGGGCCAACAAAAAGGGGGTCCACCTTTTTGAGAAACTCCCATATGTGCCCTTTAACTACAAAAGGATCCCCCGCCCCGAAGGCGGCCCAAGGTGATGCTTAAACTAATCCAAAGGCAAAGCATAGCGAGCCCTGTGGATTGCCGTGCTCTTACGAATTGATTCGGTCTGGATCACGGGAATTCTTCTTTTAGACCAACCACTCATTTGCGCTCCATTTTGGGAACCTCAAACCCTCCCATCCACCTCCTTAGACTTGCTGCAGTGATAGCGAGTTGGCATGAGAAACGGAATGAACCGTTTTGGGATTCCCGAATATCTATTTCAAGGACACCGCCACAACAAATGGTTTATCTCGGGGTAGGACTCCATGTCTCATTCCCATCTCTCGCACCGATCTGTAGATCAGAACCAGCTCGCCAAAACCACCCACATTCTGGGAGGTTCCTTCAGCCAGACACCCGGTTCCAGCGTTCCAGCCACCGCCTCCCCCCCCCCGCACTTTTGCCTCACCTTCGGCAAAACCTCGAAAGCTCCTCAACTTTCGCCATCGCCCCAAACCTCGCAAGCCACAACCTCGAAAGCCCCCAGTTGCCTCACCTTCAACCGGCCCCACAACCGGCCCTCGCCTCGAAGGAGGCGAAGGCGTCTTCGAAGGCGGCGAGCTGCAGCTCCTCCGCCTTCACCTAAGAGGCGAGGCGCCACCCCTCGAGCTGCGTTTTGCTTTTCGTGGAAACGGGCTGGGTTTGCATTGGCTTTCTTGGGGGGGACCTCTAGTGGTTGGTGGGTTTTGAGAGGAAATCAGCCAAAAGCGGACGGCCCAGGAACACCGAACCTCCTGTCAGCTGGCCCAAACCACCCCGACGAGCGGATTTGGGCAAAGACCCAAATCACTTTCAGCTGGGAAATGAGAGGAGCCCATCTGCTTCTTCTTCCGTTCTCGAAAGCGCATCCTGGTGGAAGAGGATCCTGGGATCGTTTTTCTTTTTCGGGCCCTCCAATGGCTTAGACCTTTGAGTTCCCAAGCGACTAGGGGCTCTGCAAAGACACACTCGTTCTCTCCATCTGTTTGGCGTGGCGTTTTTGGTGCCCTTTTTGGGGTCACGGAAAAGGGGGAAACGAAGAACTCATTTTGGGGGCCACAACTTGAAGGAACGCCATGGGAAATACCCTAGTCATTTTGTTTTGTTGCTTGTGTAGGCCAGTTCTTTCTTGACCCAAGAGGGATCAAAGGTCCCACCTGCACCCCTTGACCCATAGGACACCACATGGCTGTGGGTCAACAATAGGTACCCGTTTTGGGAACCCTGGTAAATGGAACCAAGACTAAAACCTGCGGTCCCCTGGTCGTTTAATTTTGACCCATGCCCACATCTGTCTTGCTTGTAGTTGGTATTGTTTTCGGGTTCTATCTTAAGCGGACATTGGCTGCTTTAGCGGGGCACCAAAGGGAGATGGCCGTTAGTTTTAAGGGACACCAAGAGGGAGAGGTCAAGGGCACCCTTTTGTTGGAGGAAACCAACCATTTCGGTCGGTTCCTCTGATTTGGAGACAAGCTCATCTTAGGCTTGGTTAGAACGTCCTGTCTTGTCTATGGTCCCTTTGGGGGGATGGGCTAATATCCCACAAACATGAGGCTGCTCGGCTGCTCACTAATTTTACTATGAGCCCCCCTCCCAACCTCCAGAGAACGCTTTGGATTCCGGAAAAGCTGTTTAGCGGTTTCCTCCAGAAGTTGCCCTGTTGATGCTCGCGTATTGATTGAATGCGCTTGAGAGATGGATTCATTAAAACACCCGGACAGCCTTCCTGCCGAACAAATGGCTGGTGTCCTTTGGGCCCACTTGGGAGTTGCGACTTGGTAGGCCATCCCCTCTGTGCGGGTGGTGATTGAAACGAGAGGTGCAGCAAAGTGTCCAGTCTCACACACACACAAACAAACAAACAAACAAACAAACAAACAAACAAACAAACACACAAACACCCCCTGTGATCACATCGCCAGCTGATAGAGGACGAAGCAACAGGCAGGCCGTTCCTCTTGTTTGCTTCCTTTGCTTTGGCCATGGCAAAAGGACAAGGTTGGAGCGGAAGCCTGCCACGCTTGAAGCCTTTTAGGGTGATGGCTTTCGTGGCTCGGGCCAGCAAGTGCGTTGATCTTGGACCAGCCATGAACGTCTAAGCTGCAACCATCGGAGAAGCTGGCAGGAAATGATCCATTCCTGATTCAGCTGGAGTTGAAACTGGAGTTGAATTTATATGGATGTGTCCTAAAGGCCCCGACAAATGGATGGTTTCCTTTCGGCTCCCTTTAGACACCCCCGATGTTCCAGGTGTGTCTAGCCAAATCATGCTAGTCAAAGCACGGTTGGAGTCTTAAAGGCTATTGAAAGCGGGAAAGGACCCTTTGAGCCCATGTCAAAGTGTCTCACAACCCACAACCTTCTCACAGAGACCAGGACCAGCTATCGCTAGAAACCCATGTTTTGACAGGGGCTCTTTTCCTTGAAACTCAAGTTGCCCTGCGTGGCTTGCCCCCGCAGGCAAATCGCAATTCTGCAACGCCTCATGCAGAAACACGAGCTTGACTCCATGGCACACTTTGGGCCCGGCAAAAAAAGTCGAAGGCCCATCTTGGAGCTAGGCGATAATGCAGCCCAAGTTGCATAGATCTTCACAGTTCCTGCGGTCCACAAGCACGCAGGCACGCAGGCCTTCAGACGCCCCACCTTTGGACACTGACCAAGGGCCCATATGGTCATACGGAGCTGTGCTATTGTGGGGGTCACTCTGCTAAATCAGGTTTGAAGGAAAAAGCACAAGGAAAGCATCCCCACAGTTTTGCGGGGGGAGGCTACAGGGGGGCTGTCTCATAGTCTCAAAGTTGACAAATCCTCATAGGTGAGCTTTGGGGGCAAACTTGAAAGCAGATTCGCCGGCCCCAGCCTTGCGACGACCCCCCAACCCGATTTTGGCGAATCAAGATGCACCAATTGACATGGAGCACCCGACCAGTGGACTAAACGGATCAGCGCGCGCGCTCGACGCGAAGAGTGCATTGGTGTGTGCGACTGGTCCTTTCTCTCCATCATCCAGGAACATGTACTTGGTCCTGGGCCGGCGGGCTGGCGCGGGCCTCTGCAAGATTGTCTAAGTCAATGTCAAAACCAGGTATTGAGAAGGAATCTGGCCTCAAAGCCAGCCGTAAAACGGACATCACATCCTAAGAACTCACAAGCAAGACCGTGGCGCAGCACAGGACGAATTAACAAGCAAGACCGTAGAGCAGCGCAGGGCCTAATCATACACCGAAAGCAACCGCCGCGTAAGCAGCCACTACAGTATCACACTTAAAGGTTCATCAACTAACCAAGCAAGTCCTCCCAGCAATCCCTGCAAAGCAAAATCGCAAGCAACCTTTTCAACCAAGCCTATCGAAATACTCCAAAAACTTAGCATCCAAGCCAAGGGCTCTTTGTTGCAGCCAGACCCATTTCAGCGAGGTGCGGATTTCGGGTTCCTCACCCCCAAGCTCCCACAGGGCTGAAGAAGGATCCCCGGCTTATCTGCGGTTTCTCGAGTGAATCCGTGGGCTCTATGTCAAACAAGAACCCCCCCCCTTCCCTCTGGACATTGAAGGGCAACCAAAAGGGAAATCACCTGCCTGGATCTGGCCGGAATTTCGCGAAACACCAAGGATCCCCAAGTAGGTATTGAATTAAGACCTCGCCACATGTACTCTAAGACGAGATGTTGTTTTGCAATGTTCTGCTTGGCTGTGGATTCAACCAGGAAACCCGCCCCCAACAAGTGAAGTTGCAATGCCACTGCGCAAATGGGCATTTGAGGGCGGAAGGGAGTAAACAGCAGCCTCAACATGGTACGCGTGCCACCAAATTGGTAGCACGCAACGCATTGAACCGCGCATAGCTTGCCGCCGGGTGAACTCGCTCGAGTCACGAAACTTCGGAATGTGACAAAGCGAGTTGAAGCTAGAACACCACCTTTTCCACCAACCAATTGGACGGGAAGCACGTAATAGTGTCCTTCATGTTGTGTTTCTGGTTTATCGGACAGCCGGATGGTTTGAAGGTTAGAGAGTCGCCTTTCCATTTGGGGCCATTTGGATTCAGCAGAAACTGCACCTTGAAAATCACAGCGCACCTACCCAACCCAGAAGCTCAGGATTTCCTTCCACCTGAAATAATTCACGGCAACAGTTCGATAAAGGATTCCATTAAAGGGGCTACATCACGAGTTTGCGCTCGTTACACCCCCAAATGGTTGAGCTCGCCATAGAAGCAGAGGCACATCCAAGCCGCCAATCCAACCCACTTCGAAATCCTAAGTTATACAAGTACGGGTCTGTCTCAACATATTGGATCGTTCTATAGAGGAACCCGAAGGAAACTGACCACCTGGATGGGGTCCCTGATTTTGAGAAAGACCCAAATGGGTGTGGCTCAAAATTAAGGAGGGGTTGTGCAGGTTTTCTTCCATGTTTCCCCCTTTCGCAGGGTTCCATTTTGGTAGTTGTTTGAGCCACAGCCATAGACCGCCCTCCGGAAATACACGAGACAAGCGCCGTTTCGCTTGAGCCACGCCGCTTTCGCTTGCGCCGTTTCGCCGTTTCGCTTGAGGCCCCCGCATGGCTTCGCTCCTCTGGCGGGTCCAGGCTGGGCCCTGCAGGTCCTGCCGGGAACTCCGTGGCGTGCCCGTGCCGGTGTGTGTGTGTGTGTGTGTTGATGTTAAAAAAAAAAAATGGTTGTGTGTATTTCTCTGAAAAACCAGCTTGTTTGTTTTAAGCAAGTACAATTGGGTTTCTTTCTGCCTTGAAAAGTAAGAAACATCAGGTTGGACAAAATGAAAGTCGGTGAAGAATCTATTGGGTTCTTGTTCAAGCACGATCCAAGTCCAGCTAACATGGACCCCACCAGAGGGGTCCCTTTTGGAGGCAAGAACCCCCCAGGTTCCAAGTCAGGTGGGAGGGGACCACAAACAAACGAGCCAAACTCCAGTAGCAAATCCCGCGAAACTCCGGTCTGAAAGTCCAGCCCGGCCATTTTGGGCCCCTGAAAACGGTCGGAGTTTCTCTAGGCTCCTGAGATATGCTGAGTTTCTTGGCTGTGGTTGGCTTTTGCCAAGGTGAAGAAACCAACCAGTGAGACAAAGACCAACAAGCATGCTCCCCCCTCCCCCTGCCCAGCAGCCAGCAGCCCACCAATAGCTCAGTTGTTCAGCGACCCTGGAAAAAAAGGGAACCCTTCTTGGGGAAGATGCCATTTTTAGTGGGGCAGCCACCAAAAAAACAGAAAAGAATTGGTGCCACCGAACAACTGAGAGAAACAACCTGGCACTTCGAGGGGCTCACTCCTGCGCTCGGACCGCTTGCACCTTGGGACCGCTGGAGCCTGGGTGGCACGGGGCTCGACTCTGCGAGAATCCTTCAGTCGACTTTGCTGGGCCGCCCTCAGATCCCCCGCGAAAAGTGACTAACTTTTAGCGGCTGAAATGGAAACTACCACTAAACACTAAAGGCCAAAAGGCTAAGGAACCGGATGGCTGGGAACCACCGAGAAATTGGATTCATGCCAGGGGCCCCATGTCTACCCTTTGTGGACCCAAAACGGCACTGACTTTGGCTCACAGCTGCAGTTCCGCGCGGAGATCCGGGCGCTAGAAAGTGTCCCCTTGAGGCAGCTCAAGTTCCAAGGGGCAGTACTGGCATTGGACAAAGGATTGGCAATAGCATTGGTAAACTTAAAACGTTGCACTTCGGTTGGTGTGTAGATCTTCTTTGGGGTTTGAAGGAGAGTCTTCAATCAGTGTGCAGATTTTCGTTTCCGGATTCCAGCGACATCATTATCCGCATCTTCCTGGGGCCGACACTGGAAGACGGCTCCTCCTCCCTCTCGTCTGCCTCCTTCGTAAAGCCAGCACTGAAAACCAACCTGGACCTCCATGCGGTACCCACACAAGACCCAAGCACATACTTGGTGTTCTTTTGGTGTGCCCTCTAAACAGTGGTTCAGCTTCAGTGGTTGGGCAACTACGTGGCTTCCCAGGCTTCCTGTAAGCCAAATCTAAAGCTCGGGTCATTCAGCACCCAGGGCTGGTTGCGCCTGCACGGCACTGTCATCAAGCTAAAAGCAGCACAGAATGATTAAATTGATGCTACTGATTTGGACAGAACTCATGCGCCTGTTGGTTTGTCAAGCAAAATTCACCATTCTTAAGCTTCTTCAAAATCCAAATAGTAGTTCGAGCTCGTGAAAAGACATGACGATGCAAGCTTCAGCACTTCAGGCAGCAAGATATGGTTGCCCTGCCAAACGACCTCGGTCAAGTATCCGAAACTTCTCGACTTGCAGCAATCACCATTGAACATGCCAACTCGGCCGAAGCAGCCAAACCAGAAGAGGCTAGCAAAAAAAGAAGAAAACAAAAAGCGAATGTGCCGCGGTCAAAACTCCTTCTCTGTACAATCGTCATGGTTCCTTAGGAAGTCTTATTGCAATGGCTCTCAATTACAACGCTTGTAAAAGCATCTATTAGGTCGATGAGCATCCCTACTGACCCCTAGAAACATCCCTACCAACCGCATGACGATCCCTATGAACCTCGAGTAGAGGAACCAAACTTTTGACCACCGCAATGGGCTCAGATTGACCAGTGGCTATCCCAGCCTCAGCCTCCTCCTCCTGAGGAGCAAAGATGCGATCTCCCATCTGCCGCACCTCAGATTCTATCATGTAGAGAAGCCGAATCCACGCAGGTCAAAGCGAAAACCAAAGAAACTCGCAACCCGGATAGGGGTGCTGAATTGTGTTTTTTGTGTGTGGTGATCTAGTCGAATTGTTCTTTTTCTTCTGAACCATTTGGGTGGAAACCGCAAAGGACCCCCCCCCACTTTCCAGTCGATGCAACCTCGGTTTGAACGGTCAAGCCCTCCAGCTTGATGGTCTTTGGACCGCGCTTGGGGTTGTGAACATGGATGGATTGTGGTCATTGGATGGTGCTGGGGGTGCATTGTTCAAAACAAAAAACAAAGACAGCTACAAACTCAGCTTGGAGTAGTCCCGAATTCGGTTTCAATTTCCCACCCCCCTTCCCCCCACACATGCATTCTCACTCGCCCAAAGAATCAAAAAGAGGAAGAAGTGAAAATCAAAAGGGTGCACAAGGTCTTCGGGCGACAAGAACTCCCCCCCGAAGCAACTCTCATCGCAACTCCGCGCTTCAACTCGCGAGGCCGAGCAGCAGCCGTCTTGACATCATCGAAGATCTCCGAGATGGAGCCTAAGGGCGGATTTCGGAAAACTCAAATCAGGGCCGAGTTGCACCAGTGCGAAACCGAACACAGAGGGAAACAGGATGCCACTGAACAAGTGGGAGCCATTCCGTTAAACCAACACCTCTTCCATGTCCAATTTGAGACGCTCGAAAAGATCGCGAGGGCAAGGGCGTAAGAATTGCCCTCCGTGGGTGTACTCAGCCCGCTGCACTCACGTGATGGATTGCCAAGCTTTGCTCAAGCGCAAATGTGTTGCTTCTTGCGGAGTCAGATTCTGCCACTTCAGTGCACTTTGAGCGTTTACCAATTCAAGTGTGACGGCGAATTTGCGTTCAAACAAGTGAGTTGGCTGTGCTTAGTTGAACACGGGGCCCTGAATCTCATTCACCTCAGATGTCGGTAGAGAAGGATCAGAGGGGTTTGGGGGGATCAAACCAGCGAATCCCGGTGATCAAACCAGCGAATGTCGAGTCAAGCAGCATTCAATCGGATCAACTCTGGCCATTGCACAATAGTGAGATAAACAGGCCGGATCTGCAGCAAAAAGACTGGCCATAATCAGCCGGCCAGCCGTTCTGAACCGAGCCCAAACACGTCATACAGCAAAGCCAAACTTGCACCCCAAAAAACAGATCCGCCCGACAGCCGCAGCCCCCAGCTCTGCCAAATTCGGGTGGCCCGCCTCGCTCCAGCAAGGACTTCAGACCCGGCAGCCCCGCACACTGCCGGTGCATGGCGACGCAGGGTTGCAGGTCGCGCCGAGCTTGGCGCCGATTGGAAAGCGAAAGCGAACCAAGCTTAGGGCATGGAAGACATCGGGGCCCCTCTGAGTCCGGAGGGAAGTAATTGCTCAGATAAAAACAGTCGTCACCCCGGAGGGAGAAACCCCCAAAAAGAACATTCTCAACGCCCGGAAGTGTCTGCGGTTGAAGGCGAACCTACAGCTCCTTTGGTAGATCACATGCGACTCGCCATTCTTCTTTATGAGGAAACGATCCTTGATACCCTCAGATGCCCTGAATCACCTACCAAGGCTTTGGCTGACCCAGGTGTCAAAGCCTTTGACACAGACCCACATTCTTCCAGGGTATGTCCGTCACGTGCGCTAGGCACACCGCTGGATTTGCAAAGGGCAGTTCTCCTTACAAACCAAAGGGGTGGCAAAACGCTCTCAGCACTTCTTTGGTGATAAGCTTTGAACTCCTTGGAAAGGTCCGGGACCCTTTTTCCAGATGCCAAACTCTCGGCAGAAGGATTTTGGCCAAAGCGCCGTTCAAAACTTGCCGCGATCGAAGCCAATTGAGCCAAAGGGTCTGGCGCGCGATGGTGACACGGAAATCCACCTCCAAAAGCGAGTTCGAGAACCCCCCCGCGAAGTCTCCACAGTGAAGCAAGTCTAACATGCCGCGCAGCAAACATCGATGACCTGCCGCGCTACCGCCCGGTGTTTTCTTCTTGACGCCGAGCCCCAAGCCCTCTGAAGGCGTGCTGTTCCCCATACCACTTGGAGTTAGGGGAAGGTCATGGCCCGAGTTCGATTTCTTCAGGTTGAGGTCCCTTTGAGCACTTGACATCTGAGCAAGTTGCAGCGGACCTACCAAAACCAGCTTAACAGCGTGGCCAACTGGGGGTAAAGCTCTACAACTTGTTTTTGGCTGCGTTTGCTACATCCTGCAACTGTCAGAAGGATTGCTCGAGAATAGGTCTCACAAAACCAGCAACAACACGTGTGGCCAAGACATATGCCTCTGAAAACGGGGGTGGCGGGATTCTCCTTTGAAATCCGAGAAAAGGGGAGGGTAGATTATGGTCGGGGAGCGGAAACTCCGCTGAGATTTTCAGATGCTCTTTGCACTTCGCCCTCAAGAAGCTCGGACCTTCGGATCTTCGGACCTTCGGACCTTCGGTCAAATCCACCGGCCGGTGCGAGCCGGAAGCGGCCACTTCGATCAGCTCCGGACAGACAGCCCTTCAGCTGTAAACGCCACGTCCAAGTCGTAGAAAACAGTCTCTGGGGGTTTCATGCTCGGCTGCAGTTGAACATCAAGCCCAGTCATGAGAATCGGAAAATGCTGTGCGCTAGCCATCTATGGCTGTGGTCATCAGCAAAACCGTGCCACTGGACCAAGCCAGTCCATGATCTGCAGTTCAAAAGCTTGAGTGAGGGCCCTTTGGTGGACATCATTCAAATGGTTCGAACCTATATTGAGGCGTCCCGCTAACATGCATAGCCATGTGTACCACTGTGCAATATGGTATATCACGCAAAGCTAGTATTGTGTGTAAACGGATGATGAGTAAACACACAAGTCGCGACATGCATATGAATATACGCATGTACGCATGCATGTACGTATGTATACCATGTATACTGTATATATATATATATATAATTATATCCATCCATACAGGTGTGTATATATATATGCACATACACACACCATTGTATATGTATATATATATACATATATCAATCAGGAGCTCCCCCAGTCCATCCGACCGTCTCGAAACCCGCCCGTGAAGAGCCCGAAGGTCCCGGCCGGTGCTGGCTCGAAGGTGAAGGCTGGGTCCGACTCCGAGAGGAAGGTGAAGTCCTAGGGGCAACGTCACCTGACGAACTGGGGCAAATCCACACTTTTTGGGGTTTCAGGAACCAAATCTACACGGCTTCCGGGGAAAAAAACAAAACACAAAAGAAGAAAAAAAGAACTGAAAGCAAGAGAAGACCCAAAAAGAAGGACGGCAACAAAGGCATGGTTGGCCTTCCTTGGCATACGAATTTCCAGGAAGCAAACCGGTCACCGAGTCCGAGCTCCCGGCGTGGCCCATGCCCACCCAGTTGCCTCGCCGCGAGAAGTCCGACGGGTGGGCAACGAACGGGCGAACGAATTTCCCGCAGCCCAAAAAAGGGGCTCCCCGAAAAACACCTGTCAGAGTACCCCAGAGTATGAACAAGACTCTTGGTACCAAAAAGGGTTCCCTTTGCCTGCAAAAACCTGTGAGTCTTTTGGTACCAAGAAGGGTCTGAGAGGCACCTTGCGGCCCGACGACTTGCCCATGCAACCCGGCGCACAAGTGTCTCAGGCCTTTTTTTGGGCGGTTTCCGGAATTCAGAGCTGAGGCGTTTCCTTGAACCTACCGCTTCGGTGGGGGGGGGGGGGTTGTCACTGTGGTAAACTTGGGCCTACACCGAAGAATTAAGTCGGCCTTCCAAAGATACAGCAACACAAAACCGCGAGCTGACTGCAAAGTTGTTCAGGGAAACAGGGGTGCAATCAAACAATTGTTGATGGTTGAGACGCTCTATGCGCTATTTGATCCATTCGCAACCCAAATCTTGTATGAGGAGACTTCAAAGCCCAGCGCAGATCCAAGCGTCAGATCCATTGCCCCATAGACCCTTTGTCTGCCTTAGGCCAAAAAGACTTTGCCGTCGCCCGTGCTGGGATTTGGGCAGGCCCCTTTTGAGGGTGGGGGGGTCCTTGACTTGGCAGCCGGGCCGTAGTGCAGATGCTCCAGCGACCCATACTGGTCCTGAGCGAGTCCAAGGCAGCTGCATAGAATCAGCACTGTCCTTGAAGCTGGATCCAGAAGTGTTTGCTTGTTCCACCATGTGGAGTCAAACCCCATTGATGGACGCCCCCCGCCTGCCAGAAACCACAAGTGGAATTGTGAGACCACAGCGAAACAATTCAAGGAAATAAGCATCTTGGGATCTCAAAGAAGACAACCAGTTGATTTGGGCTCGCTTCTTAAGTGTTTTCTGAGACTGTCGATTCTGGCTATTCTGCCTTGCTTTTTGTTTATGAGGACTCAGTCAAGTCTGCCCTGTTTCTTAGGTGATTTCTGAGGAAGCATGCATACTCGGCAGTTCTTGCAACAGTTCGACAAGTTCCAAGTTGAACATCGAACACCGTCTCCACACGTTCACACTGCACAACGGGCAGCTGCAAAACAAATGGTCGGCCACTTTGCCAGAGTCCCAAACAATGGATGCAACTACCGGGGCGTGACTTGTTCACCATTTCCGTCAAATGATTGCTCCCTGGCCCTTGTAGGTCTTTTAAGGCCGGGGCTTGCTGAAAATAGGGGGCGCCCTTTTTCCAGACCCCTTGAAGACAGCAGAGTTCCGCATACTTAAATCACCTTCAACATCAATCCAAGGGAAACTCGATCAACGTCGGCCACACAAAAAAATGGTCAAACGCTTTGACAAGCCAGCTTCCCGAGAAGGTCCCATTCACCCTCTACAAGAACCCTGGGTTCAAATCTAAACCACCCGGCTCCAAACCACCTGACAGGATGGACCCCCGTCAAAGGGGGGGTCAAACAGTACACCCCGAGTTCACCTTCCACTCCTCATTTCCCCCTCTCGCTTTCAGAGAACTCTCCTTCGCATGGGCAACACAGACACACAACACCAAGTCCTCAAAAGAACCTTTCAACTAGACACCTTCCAAACCCAAGCCCAAACCAAAAGGGCTCAAGAGAACCTTTCAACTTCCAAAACAGCTTGGTGCATGTCCATGTGAGTTACCAGCGACACCCACGCTCGAAAAGTTCGCGACCATTGGCTTCTCCGCCGTGCGGCGACGCAAAAGGCGTAGTGCGAATGTCCGGCCTCCGGGCACAAGATATCCGTGAAGGGAGGAATGCCCCCGCTTTGTGCGGACCCACTCCAAAGTGGATTTGGGAACCCGATTTAGATTCCAATCCACTTTGATTGTTGCGATTTGCTTTGCTTTGCAAGAAACATGCCTCTACAAACCGGCATGGCTGCGAAGGGAAAGCGAGGGAAAGCATGGGAACGCCAGGAAAAGCAACACAAGGCAAAGAAAACCAAGCAAGGGCAAGCAAGCGAATGCAAGGCAAAGGAAGGCAAAGCAAGGCAACGCTGGGGAAGGCAAAGCAAGGCAACGCAAGGGAAAGGCAATGCAAAGCAAAGCAAAGCAACGCAAGGGAAAGCAATGCAAAGCAAAGAAAAGCAAGGGCAAGCAAAGCAAAGCAAGGGACAGCAAGGGAAAGCAAGCGAATTCAAGGGAAAGCAAGGGAAATGCAATGAAAAGGAAGGCAAAGCAAGGGAAAGCAAGCGAAATCAAGGGAAAGCAAGGGAAATGCAAGGCAAAGGGAGACAAAGCAAGGCAACGCCGGGAAAAGCAATGCAAAGCAAAGCAAAGCAAGGGACAGCAAGGGAAAGGAAAGGGAAGCAAGCTTTAGCCTAGCACCTTGAAAACGGAGAAAAAAGAAAACAGGACAATTCACATGTTGCATGCACAACCCTGCACAAAAATGCGAGACAAGTCCATGCATGGTTTGCATGGTGTATGCATTCTGTATGCATTCTGTATGCATTCTGTATGCATTCTGTACGCATTCTGTATGCATCATGCATGCATAGTTTATACATTTTGCCTTCATTGTTGGATTTGCGTGCATCTTGAATGCGCCTTTTGGATTTGGCACAAGTACCTTCAATCACGCTACAAACCCACAATTGTGCATAACACTGCACAAACATGCGAGACATGTGCATTTTATGTGTGCTTTCTGCCTTTGTTTTATGAAGTTTGTGCGCGTGGTGTACGCATGTTATGTGCATTGTAAAGATATCCAGACCAAATTCAACAAATGCATACAAAAGGTTACAAACTACATGTACCATACATGAAAAAAGCATGCATGAAATGCGAATATGCAGTCACAAGGTAGCCATGCCAGAGCCAAAGCTGCATAC